ATTCAATTACTTAAATATTTTTCCTAAAAAAAACACATATTCATAGATTTTTCATTTTTTTCCTCCTAAACATAACAATGCATAAAAGAAAATAAAGCTTTATTTTGATTTATTATTTGAGTAATTGAAAAGGAAAATGACCAAAAAAAAAGGTAAATATGTCATCTCTTAAACTTTTTGAATAAATTACTTATATATTATAGGTAATCAATCGAGTATTCTTTAAAATAACAATTATTGACATTGCACTGGAAAAAAAACTAAAAGCCGAATGTTCGATCAAAAAATTTAACTAAATATAAGAAAACACAAAACATTGATTAAAGGAGAAAAACATGCCGAAAGAGAAAAAAAAGCTCAAGTTTTGATGAAGAAAAAGTTTGGAGAAAGAGTAAGAAAAAAAACTTTTTATGTAGTCGTGGAAAATAAAAAGTTACGAAACTTTTCAAATTCTTGATTGATTATAATTAAAATAAATTATAACTTTTTAATCAACTCATAAAAACAAAGAGACAGAACTATATATATTCTAACTCTTTATATTCTAACATTTGAGAGGGAGAGTTTTTTAGAGAGAAATTTAATTCGAGAAAAGTGGAATTTATAAGGATGAAGATGAGATATTTTGAAAGAAATGAAAAAAAAGGGGGATATAGGAGAGAAAGTCAAAGAAAGAAGAGAGAGAAACTTTTACGTTGAAGGACAAAATTATCCCCAAAATAAATATGAAAATGTTTAAATTAAAAAGACAAAATAGAGAGAAAAATTTTTGGGAAATTGAAGTGGATGGCTAAATTTTGCCACCCGTTTTTAAAAATGTATATTAGTTTTAAATTTTGCACAAATGATTAAAGGGTATTTTAGGAGTTTTAAAAAAGAACGTAATTTTCCAACAATACCCTTTTCTATGTCTTTTGGCTGTTTGTTATATTCAACTACGTAACAAACTTTGTTTTGAATTTGAATTCAAAATTATTTTCCTACATTCAAGGGATTTCAAGTTAATTATTTTAATTACTTTGTTTTGTATTTTAGTTAATTTAAACGATTTGTGTACACGATTCATCTCCCATCTCATCATTCTACAATTGTTCTACTGTATCTTCTTAATGTATATATACATATTTGCATCAATTGGTATATATACCTAACCATTAACGAGTGTATGCTGTCACAAGTTTGTTTTCCTATTTCTTTATCATTTAATAAATCATCTACAACAAAAATAAATTAAAAAATTGAAGACTAACAACCCATAAATCAAAATGATTAGGAAAATAGGTGATGCCTCCTAAATTTGTAGCCTTTAGGCGTGTATCGTCATCAGATTCAGTTTCTTAAACTTCTTTTGACGACGAGCTATTTTTCTTATGTTCATCGGTGGATTCATTATTCACTATTTCATTCTCTTCATTAGACTTTGTATTGTCCTTTAAAACATTAGAAAATTTATCAAAATTAAAAGGTCAATAAATGTATATACCAATTAAAGAAAAATCAAAATTAGAATTCAATACACGTATATATCACCGTGAAACTCAATTATGTCATGTATATACCAATTCAAGAATTAACAAAATACGAAAGTCAATACATGTATATACAACTATACAACTCAAATATCATAAGTAGAATGTCAATACATATATATACCAATATTTACCTCGCTAACACGTTCTTCCTCAACTGTCTTGAGACCCCTTCATTTTCCTGAAATATACGAGTTCAGTTGACTCATTGAATCTAATTTGTAAATATTACTGTAAAAATTAACAAACAAGAAATATATAAACTACTGCATCTATACATCTTTTTCACTTTCTAAGTTGATTTGACACGATTCCTTTGAACGTTATGTTATACTAGTAGCTTTTAATCATTGTTGAGATGTTCTTCCTCTACCTTTTATCATATCTATAGATTCTACTTAGAATTTAAGCTATATAAACATTGTAAGTCTGTTGCAGTTGTAGATATATACTTCTCAGATCTAGTTATAAACAAAAGACACATGTCGGTCCCACACTTGTATTTTTTTAAATACCCTAAAATATATGAAAACCAAAAATATCATTTTAAATACCCCTAAAATACGCAAAATCTGAACACAGCACGCTATCATCGAATAAAAACATGTACACACTACAAATTCTACAATGTTCCGCATACTTAACAAATCACATTGTAACGCCCCGAGTTTTCAGGTTATGTTTATTTTAAGATTTAAATTGAGAATTTGGATTCTTCCTCTAAGTTGATAATTTAGGACCCGTTTGATAACCATTTCATTTTTTATTTTTAGTTTTTTAAAAACAGGGTTATTTGATAACCAATTCAATTTTCTATTTTTTGTTTCTCAACAACCATTTTGAAATTCTATATAAATTTCAAAAAAGAAAAACTAGTTTTCAAAAATTATATTTTGAATCTTGTTTTTATCTCTAAATTTGTTTGCACTATCGTTTTTCTCTTTCTTTCTAATTTCTTTTTTTTTCTTTAATATATCTTTTCCTTTTGACTTTACTTTTTTTTTTTTCAAAAATTTTTCTCTTTTTGCCTTTTAACTTTTATTTCACTAATTTTTTTTACTAAATTTTTTTTATTATCTCTCTAAAATTTCTTCCAAAAGTTTATTTACATCTCTCTAAACTTGTATTTTCACGTCTCTACATTTGAGATGACAAAAATTTCCGCAGGGTCGGACCCCAAAAATAGGAGATGCATGTCTTGACCCTGTCATCGATGTCATTTTTTAAATAATTTATCTATATTTATTAAACTTTTTTTATACTGAAATTCTAAAAATAATTAAAAACAATTATAAAACCGATAATTTTTCTAGAGAACATCTCTCAAACCGAAGAACGAGGTGGAGACGGGGATTAAAATTTTCACGAGCACGAGAATGTGGGAGAGCATCTTCACTCGTACCCACACCATTGTCATCTCTACTCTACATAGAATTTTTTCTTTTTAATATGTATTTTCAATTTTCTAACTTTTTAAAAATAGAAAACTAAAAATGGTTACCAAACATGTTTGGTTTTCTATTTTTTAAATACAAAAATGGTTATCAAACATATGATTTTTGTTTTTAAAAACAAAAAACCAAAAATAAAAAAAGTAAGAACAAGACAAAACAAAAACCAAAAACATAAATTGTTATCAAATAGACCCTTAAATTTTTGGATTTTCTAATTTGGAGTTCTAATTTTAGGTAAATTAGAATTTAAGTATAATTCCGTTAGTTAAGATAAATTAAGTTTTCAAATTCTGGAAATAGATTTTTAATTAAATTTTAATCCAAAGTTTTGGAGATTTAATTATCTCTTTTAGATTTTATTATTGGGGTTTAAATTTAAGTTAATCTATCTTTTAGTACTTTCCCAAACTTTTTTTAAAGTGGGTTTCCTTTAACAAAAAGATTAGGAAAATTCCTCTTAATTATACAGATATTAGTCTCTTTTTGGGTTTATTCACTTTTATTCTTTTTGGTAAAAGGAAAATAAATGAAAACAAAAAGGGGGAAAGAAAAGGAAAAA